ACTGTAAATCAGCAGCCTCACCTTGTTCTTGCTTGAAGAGGATACTGTACTGAAAAGAAAAAATATATATATACAAAATGACCATCGCTGTCATAAAGTGGCGAAAGTTAAAAAAAAAATTTAAAAATTACAGTTGTTCTTACATCTTTACCTGAGTAGTCATTTCTTCATTCGTACAGATGGAGGGTCTGGAGAGACAGAGAGAAAGACAGCAGGTTAAGAAATCAGGGGAGAGAAAAATCAGGTGTTCTTGACTTGCATCTAAATGGGAACCCGGACTGGACTGCAAAGGCAGTCGCTTGGCAGCCGGCATAGAAAAGGATGATAAAAAAGCAGCTCCCCAACAGTTGTGAAAAGTACAGCAGGTGATTTTCGGTTGCGCATCAAGCCCTGGGCGAAGGAACGCTCCCCACAAAGGCAGGCATGAAAACAAGGGCAGAAAGGAAGGGATCCGGAAGACTCTGGTCTCCCTTTTCGCCTCTGCTATGAAGACGTGCATGGCTTGGAGCCTCTGCCAGAGTAGCTTCAAGACTCCCCCCCCCTTTAGTTTAGTTAGTTACAGTAGTTAGTTAGTTAGTTAGTTAGTTAGTTAAGGGGGCCCAGGAGAAGTAAGTAAGTAAGTCAGGGGGGCCCAGGAGAATTTAGTTAGTTAGTGGGGCCCAGGAGAAGGTAGGTTAGTCGGTTAGTTAAAGGGGGGAGGCTTCCAGGAGAAGGGGGGTGTCCTGTCTTTCGTGGCTTCTTTCCGCCTCCTGTGCTCGGCCCCAGTCTTTCCCCGGAGGTGGGGGGGTTTGAGAGGGAGAGGCTGCCTCGGGCGCCCCATCAGAGGATGATGAGCAGGAGGGGCGGTTGCTATGGCGACGCGGCCAAAGAAGCCCAGGCAGGGGAGGGGAAACGGCTCCCCCCTCTTCGGGCCCCCCTACACACACGCACGCACACACTCACCCTCCCCTCCTCTCCCCCCCCCGTTCATTACCGGCCCCCCAAAACTTCGAACCCCCACCGGCCACCAGCGCCTTCCCGCCTCGCACTTCCGACGTCTTCTGATGACGCAGCTCTCCGCCGCGGAGAGGACGAGGCAGAGCGCCTTCCCGGCGCGCAGGAACCATAGAGAAAAGACGGACCAGAAGAGCCCGAAAGAGGGTGGGGGGGAAATTCGGCCGACGTCCTCCGGTGCCACCTGGTGGAAGGGAAGGAGATAGCAGCCGGGCAAGGCGCCCAACCCGGCCCACAGGAAGGCCCCGCTGGGCTTGCTGGTGGCTGACTTTGGGGGTTGCAGGATCGCACCTTCTCCTCACGCCTGTCGGAGGCTCTTTGGGGCATCTCTTGGCCCTCAAGGAGAAAGAGGGGGGTCGTCTTGTTATTGCACCCATTGGTTTTGTTTGCCTTACACTGCACCCCCCAATTTCCAATTAATTATTATTTCCAGTTAATTCCCCCCCCAAAAAAAAGTCCCATAATGATGGGACATTGCTTATTTTACTCCAAGCCTTTGGATCAGCTTGTTTCCAGCAGCAGCTTCTCTCGGTCTTAAAGGGCACGAGGCTCATGCTCTGTTGGTGCGCATGCAAAGGGAGGCTTGGGGTCACTGCTGCCATAATGTGCCAAAACAATTATTGTACCTCTCTGAGCAGCTGATTTCCACAATGCAGCTAGATTTACACACCTTGCCTTTAGTGGGTTCTTTTGATGGCCGTTTGCCCACAAGCTTTAGTCCGGGCCTTTGAGCCAGAAGCTAAAGGCAAGTGGAGGTGCGCCCAGGGTCCTGCCAGGAGAACCTGCATGACGCCCTCCCTCCCTGCCCCCTGTGCCACTCCAACAGCCCCAGGCAGTCAACCCCACAGGTACAGCGCTAGATTTACACACCTTGCCTTTAGTGGGTTCTTTTGATGGCCGTTTGCCCACAAGCTTTAGTCCGGGCCTTTGAGCCAGAAGCTAAAGGCAAGTGGAGGTGCGCCCAGGGTCCTGCCAGGAGAACCTGCATGACGCCCTCCCTCCCTGCCCCCTGTGCCACTCCAACAGCCCCAGGCAGTCAACCCCACAGGTACAGCCCAGGCTGTGTCTGAAAAGGGGCTGGCCGTTCAGCAACCCTCTTTTAGAACTATGGAAATGGCTGCAAGAAATGAGGGTTCCCTGAGTGACAGCCTTCTTCATTGGACTATAGCTCCCATCACCCACTGCCCACTCTTTCTGGCTGGGGGGAGTCGGGAGCTATAGTCCAACACACGCAGAGGGCAACAGGTTAGGGAAGGCTGCAGTAAACCCCCCAGGAAGCCCTTGGGCATTTGGGTGCTGTGCTTTGGCAGGCTCTTCCCCAAGAGGTCTGCAAACCTCCTGCAAAGGATCTACCAACCCGTGCTGGGTCTGGCCCACAACAGGCCGTGGGGCGTTTGGCAACCTGATCCCACCATCATCCTTCATTTTTGAGGATACAGGAACAGCTGACGGGACTGCAATTGCAATAATTCCCTGGTAGC